GCTGTTCCACTGCCACCTCCTCCAGCCTCCAGCAGTGCCGTGGGATGAACCTTCCCGGGAATGTTTTTAGGGAATGCCGGAAGGTTCTGAGCAGCAGGAGCAGAAACTCCCTCCAGGTGAGGACACTTCCCCTCCAGCAGCCCAGATCTCACGGAATCAAGGAATGGTTTGGGTTGGAAGGACCTTAAAGATCCACTTCCACCCCCTGGGTGCTCCAAGCTGGCCTGGGACACTCCCAGGGATGGAGTATCCTCTGGAAAATCCGTTCCAGGCCCTCCCTGCCCTCACAGGGAAGAATTCCTTCCCAATATCCCATCTAACCCCGCCCTCTGGCACTGGGAAGCCATTCCCTGTGTCCTGTCCCTCCATCCCTTGTCCCAAGTCCCTCTCCAGCTCTCCTGGAGCCCCTTTAGGCCCTGGAAGGGGCTCTCAGGTCTCCCTGGAGCCTTCCCTTCTCCAGCCTAGCCTTGGACACTTCCAAGGATGGGGCAGCCACAACTTCTCTGGGAATTCCATCCCAGCCCCTCTTGATTCTCACAGGGAGAAATTCCTTCCCACTATCCCACCTAAATTTCCCTTCTTTCACTTTGAAGCCATTCCCTGTGTCCTGTCCCTCCATCCCTTGTCCCAAGTCCCTCTCCAGCTCTCCTGGAGCCCCTTTAGGCCCTGGAAGGGGCTCTCAGGTCTCCCTGGAACTTCCTCTTCTCCAGGTGAACCCCCCCCAGCTCTCTCAGCCTGGCTCCAGCCCTTGGAACCACCTCCAAGTCCCTTCTCCCATTTCCCTGCTGGGTGGAGCAGTGACACCAAACCCTCTCCCACTCTGCCACAACAAAGCTGCCCCCAAACCCTTCCCCATCCCCCCCATCCAGCTCCTGGGCCTGGCTGATCCCACTCCCAGAATTCCCAACCCACTCACTTCATCTCCTGCTCATCCTCCTCCTGCTCCCTCCTTCTCTGCTCCTCCTCATACTCCTTGTACTGCTTCAGCATGGCCTCGAAGTCCACGTTGGCCTGGCGCTGGTTGAGCTCCTTCAGCTCCTGCAGGTTCTCCAGAACCTCCATCTCCAGCTTGGAGTCTTTGGTTCTGTTCTCCAGGACCTGGGGGAGAGGAGATGAGCTGGGATGTGCCAGCAGTGACCCCCCACGCAGCTCCAGGGAGCACAAGAGGATCCCCCTCATCCCGATTTTTGGGTAGGACAAGGTCACCCGTGTGGCTGGGGGAAGTCAGGCAGGGCAGGGGGGAGGTTTTCCTTCAGCTCTTGTACCTTCATGGGGTTGTTGAGCTCTTCCTCCTCCCTCTCCTTCTGCAGCCTCTTCTCCTCTTCCTCCAGCAGCTTCTCTGCCTGGAAGTTGCGAGTGGCTCCGTGTTCCATGGTGTAATCCGTGTTCTCGGGGTCTGTCTGAGGGGGAAACAACGGGAAAATCACTGCACTGAGCCCCAGCCACTTCCAGAGCCACACGTTCCCCAAGTTCCATGAGGGAAACTGGCTGGAAACAGCCCATCCATGGGAGGGTGGGACACTCCAGAGCTTCCAACTGCCCCGAGAAGGGAGGAGACAGCAAAAACCCCCTCTTTCACTTTGAAGCCATTCCCTGTGTCCTGTCCCTCCTGCCCTCATCCCAAGTCCCTCTCCAGCTCTCCTGGAGCCCCTTTAGGCCCTGGAAGGGGCTCTCAGGTCTCCCTGGAGCCTTCCCTTCTCCAACCTAGCCTTGGACACTTCCAGGGCAACTTAGTTTTTAAATTAAAAGAAGGTAGGGACAGATGGGATATTGGGCTCAGTGTTTGCTGGGACACCCCATCCCCAGGGGGGCAGGAATGGCATGGAACCATGGAATGGTCCCACAGGGATCATCACCCCAACTCCAGGCCCTGCCCAGGACACCCCAACAATCCCCCCCTGTCCCTCAGAGCATCATCCAAACCCTCCTGGAGCTCTGGCAGCCTTGGGGCCGTGCCCACTGCCCTGGGGAGCCTGGGCAGTGCCCCACCACCCTCCGGGGGAAAAATTCCCTGATATCCCACCAAACCCTGCCCTGGCACAGCTCCAGCTGCTCCCTCAGGTGCTGCCCCTGCTCCCCAGAGGGTGGGAGCCCAGAGGACCCCTCGGGGGTGTCACCTTGAAGGTGATCTCAGCCAGGCAGCGGGTGCACTTGATGTAGAAGCGGAAGATGGGCAGCCCCAGGTACACCTCGTTCTGCACCGTCTCCTTCCGGGCGTTGAACTTCTTCCCCTTGTAGATGTACTCCCCACAGGTCTTGCACCTGGCAAAAAGGACAAGGGAAAAGTCCATCCCACAGCAAAAAAAAAAAAAAAAAAAGGGATTAAACAGGTCAAACCCATGGGATTTCTGGTGGCGGTTTGAGTGATGGTTGGTTTTTGTCCCTGGAGGTTTAGGGGCTCCTCATAAAACAGCCCCAAAATCACAGATTCATGGAATGGTTTGGGTTAGAAGAGACCTTAAAGCCCATCCAGTGCCAACTCCTGCCACGGGCTGGGACACCTTTCACTGTCCAACCTGGCCTTGGACACTTCCAGGGATGGGGCAGCCACAGCTTCTCTGGGAATTCCATCCCAGGCCCTCCCCACCCTCACAACCAGGAATTCCTTCTCAATATCTCATCTAAATTTCCCCTCTTTCACTTTGAAGCCATTCCCTGTGTCCTGTCTCTCCATCCCTTGTCCCAAATCCCTCTCCATCTCTCATGGAGCCTCTTTAGGCCCTGGAAGGGGCTCCAAGGTCTCCCTGGAGCCTTCTCTTCTCCAACCTGGCCTTGGACACTCCCAGGGATGGGGCAGCCACAACTTCTCTGGACAACCTCATTTTTAAAGTAAAAGAAGGCAGGGATAGATGGGATATTGGGAAGGAATTCCTCTCTGTGAGGGTGGTGAGGGGCTGGAATTCATTTCCCAGAGAAGCTGTGGCTGCCCCATCCCTGGAAGTGTCCCAGGCCAGGCTGGAGCACCCTGGGACAGCTGGACGTGCTTTAAGGTCCCTCCCAACCCGCGCCATTCCAACCCCCCCCCGCGGTGCCCGTCCCCTCTCACCTCATGTTGAAGGGGGCCATCAGCCTCACCACGTACTGACGGTCCTTGGGGAGTTTGAGCTTCGGGATCTTCGCTGGGTCGAAGTCCGGGGGGTAATATTTCTGTGAGGGGAGAGAGCGCAGGGGGGTGTGAAGGGCCCTCAGCCCTCTCCCGTTCCCCAGAGCCCCCCGAGCAGCGCCCTTGGCCGGCTCGGGACCTTCCAGAGGCGCGGCCCGGGCCCCCTGGCGGGGGATCCCTCCCAACTCACGTTCAACACTTTCCGTTCCGACATCGCTGCTGTCGCTGCTGTCGCTGCTGTCGCTGCTGTCGCTGCTGTC